TATGCTGAAGTACTGAAATTCCAACAAAAGAAAGTTGTTTCTTAATGTTCTCTTAACATTGACAACATTCTCAATGTCCAAACAGTTGGAGAACGTTCCTAGAACATTACCAAAATTGAAATTAATGTAACCCTGTTTGAACTTTCAGGAAACGTTCTGTTAAATAAAATACCAAGAAAATATTGTTGTCAAGTTCCTTAAATGTGCTGAGAATGTTCCAAAGCCAAGCAACTATACTGCACAATGCCCAAAAAGTTGTGGGAAGGTTGTATGCTAAATAACCATAGGTCAACAATGCTCTCACCAAGCTCAGAAACACAGTTCTCAGAAGTTGTGCTAGCTGGGTACTGATTGAACACCTTTGTAGTCCAATTTTTCATGTCAAATCCCACAGAAAAACACTAGATTAGACCAAATATCAGTAGCCTATCCGAGCAAAGCACATTTCCAAGGAATGTTCTTCCAACAGGTAGCATGTTGCAAAATAGCAAATAAAACGCAATGCACCTTTAATTTACAGACATACACTGGAAATAATTAGGAAATGTTTTGGGTTTTTTAATTGCTACTTATAACTAGCCTATTTGGGTCACAACCAGTTATCACAATAGCCAGTATCACCATACAGAGAATGATAGTCCAAATGCAGACACGCAAACCGTTTTAAGTTTATTTTGGCGCGCTGCACTGAAATAAACTTTAACCCTTGGAAAGACTCAGGTGTACGGTGGGTTTAAATCATTCATTCAGCTAAGTGTTTTTATAACAAAGTGAGTCAAGAAAGAAACGTGCATCACAATCATTAGGATAATTGCCGAAAAGACACCGAGATTATATGATGTATATGTTTAGGTCTATAGATCAGAAGTAATTAATACCCGAATGGGCTATTAGGCTACTTTAAGTCCTGTCTACCCAAGCCATATAAAACCATTTAAAAGACAATGTATTATAAGCTATCGAATCAATAGCCTACCACAGAAATAATGCAAGCAAATGAAAAGCGAATTACTTAAGAATTTTTTTTATACTTTTTTTCAAGGAAAAGGCTTAATATGAATAATACATGTATTTGTCATACCTGTGTCGATAAACATATGGCGAATACAATCACTCCGAGATGAACAACCGTCATTTTTGACATCTTGATGATGATCTGGCCAGAACTTCATGCACAGCCACAGTCCCTCTGAAAATGTGATTACTAAAATAGTCGGACCTACGTTTTTATACAAGCATCATGACTGACGTGTGACGTGGAAACATTGGTCACATACCCATACAACCTGGAAACAAAATAACCATTTAGCCTACTGTAAAAGCATGTGATACACATATTTGTTTTTATATTGAACATATGCGTCGTTAAAATCCAAATGGATTGTATATATTTTATACATTTATTTTAATAGATGATTTAATTAGAGTATGTGTCATCAGTGGGAAGGCAACATTCCGAAGCATTCATGGGACTACAACTAAACAAAAAAATACTATGGAACAGGTCCCATTCTATGGTGCCATTGGATGGAAAGGTCTGCTACACGGGCAACTTCACTTCAGGTATTACCAGGTTTTAACATCCAAATGAAGCCATATGCAACTTGTTGCTTGGCCAGGGCCACATTCAGTTGTCAAATCTTGTCGAATGTTGCAGATAGAAATTCCAGGAATAGAGCTGATTATTTTCCTTATTCTACATGTCAGAGGCATGTTTGTTGTAGCCTACATCGTATATTTCTATCTGAACGTTCCAAAACCTTGCGTCAGACTGAACGCGCCATTACTTTTGACCAACAGCGACATCACCTGGCTACAGTTGGTAATTAACCTCCTTATGGTCCTATGTCAATTATATTGCTGACCAGACCGCTCGCGCGCGTGCATGTTGGTTTTGTCCAACCACACCGACCAGACGCGATCAGGACACGCAGGTTGAAATATCAAAACGAACTCTGAACCAACTATATTAATTTTGGGACAGGTCGAAAAGCATTAAACATTTATGTCAATTTAGCTAGCTAGCTTAGTGGGATTATCATTTGTTTTTTAACAGGAAATGACCCAACACACCTCCAGGCTGTGTAAGGGCTATTTTACCAAGAAGGAGAGTGATGGAGTGTTGCATCAGATGACCTGGCCTCCACAATCCCCCGACTTCAACCCAATTGAGATGGTTTGGGATGAGTCGGACAGCAGAGTGAAGGAAAAGCAGCCAACAAGTGCTCAGCATATGTGGGAAAAGCATTCCAGGTGAAGCTGGTTGAGAGAATGCCAATAGTGTGCAAAGCTGTCATCAAGGCAAAGGGTGGCTATTTGAAGAATCTCAAATATAAAATATATTTTGATTTGTTTAACACTTTTTAGGTTATTACATGATTCCATGTGTGTTATTTCATAGTTTTGATGTCTTCACTATTATTCTACAATGTAGAAAATAGTAATAATAAACTTTTGACTGGTACTGTATTTGTAAATTTATTTTGCAACGCTCGCGACGTGAGCGGTGTGGTCAGCATGCACAGGCTACTTGCGTCTTTGGTTTTTGAGGACGTTTTTTTTGTTTACCATTGTATGGACAGGTTCCTATGACCCATAGAGTAATCTCTACATTTTCTGTCCGAGCCTTATATGTATACAAATCTAATCGGTCAAATACACATGGGTTTCATCGGCAGAGGTGGCCTAACTGGTTGCATCACCGCCTGGTATGGCAACTGCTCGGCCTCCGACCGCAAGGCACTACAGAGGGTAGTGCGTACGGCCCAGTACATCACTGGGGCCAAGCTTCCTGCCATCCAGGACCTCTATACCAGGCGGTGTCAGAGGAAGGCCCTCAAAATTGTCAAAGACTCCAGCCACCCTAGTCATAGACTGTTCTCTCTGCTACCGCACGGCAAGCGGTACCGGAGCGCCAAGTCTAGGTCCAAAGGCTTCTCAACAGCTTCTACCCCCAACCCCAAGACTCCTGAACAGCTAATCATTGCTACCCAGAGTATTTGCCCTCTTTTACGCTGCTGCTACTCTGTTTATTATTTATGCATAGTCACTTTAACTCTACCCACATGTACATATTACCTCAATTACCTCGACTAGCCGGTGCCCCCGCACATTGACTCTGCACCGGTACCCCCCTGTATATAGCCTCCCTACTGTTATTTTATTTTACTGCTGCTCTTTAGTTATTTGCTTTTAATTTTTTTACTTAACACTTAAAATTTTTTTTTTTTTTAAATTAAAATGCATTGTTGGTTAAGGGCTTGTAAGTAAGCATTTCACTGTAATGTCTACACCTGTTGTATTCGGCGCATGTGGCAAATAAAATTTGATTAACGCCATAGGCTAAACAACCATCCAAAAGGTGAGCCTGCCTCAACAGAAAATAGGGTAATGTCGCCCTCTGATGGCGAGTCAAAGAATCGCAAAATCAAAGACATCTTATATCTGCCCATTGCAAACTAATGGGGAAAACCTGTTTGTACTGCACCAACGTTCTCAATCATCTTCTAAATTGGCAGGGACAATACACTATAATCATCCGTCTATGGACAGTAATGCAAATAATGATACATTAAGGGTACACCAACTTGGCCTTCTTATGATTGGATCCAGATGTGGGGATGTAACTTTAGGCCTATAAATACCGTCCCGAGTCCCTGCCATTTGGGTAAGTGGATTTCAGAGGGAATAGTGAGGGTCTGGTGCCCTCCAGAGAGAACCCAAGGGGACAGCGTTCCTTTCGCTGCCTGTGCTCCCTGCAGAGGCACCAGATGTGCTCTGAGACGGGAAGAGAAGGGGGCCTTTTGGAAGGCATCAGATAAGCCCCGTTCCCAAAGCCCAGGCGGATCTCGTATCACCAGCGGCCAGCAGGTCTACGAGGGGAGCGCAACCTGAGCCAGCGCACCGGGATCGGGTTTCTGTTTACATGAGCTGTGGTCCCTGGGTTCCTCGAAACAGAGCAGGGCAGAGGGGGCCGAGGGGAAATGGAATAGCGGTTGTGAAACACCCCTCTTCCTGTCTTGTCCTGTCTGTCTGTCTAAGGTCCATATAGTCACAGAGGGAGGAGAGGGAATATGATAAATAAAGATCAGAGAGAGAGAGATAGAGAAAAAGAGGAGAGAGAGAGGGAGATCAGTAATCAGAAACACAAAGTTGTGAGAGACATAACATAACATTGGCCTACTACCTCTCTGAATCTACCCTTTACATCAGCAGAAAACAAGGAGTCCAATTCCACTGCCAGTATTTGGCGGTTCAAATTCATATACTAGTCACAGACTTCTGAGACTAATCTTGCGCATTCTCTCTCTCTCTCTCTCTCGCTCGCTCTCTCTCTGTCTTGCTCTCTTTCACACACACACTCACTCACAAACACACAGGCGCACACACTGTCTGCAAAGGTAAATCCTGCCCTCAAGCTCATAGTTTAGGCCTGGCTCTCAGGGCATTGTGGAACTAGACTTGAGGTATGGGTGCTCAGCTGCCCATTAAAATGACTCACTTCTCAGTGGCATAGGCCTGTGTGGTGTCACCTAAATGAGGCCCTAGCAGGTCCAACTGTGCCATCCAAATAATATAGTGTTAAACATGAATTGAATATGGATTTCAGCAGAGCAGAATGATAAGGCACATCAAGTCAGTGTGTGGTATCACTGACAGTAAAGTGGGTTGTAGGCTACTTTCCTCTGTTATGTATGCTGCTATGTGTCCTCTCTCTCTTTGATCAAACAGATGTCATTTGAGAAAGTCCCAAACATTCTACCGTGGTATCGTTTACCCACGCGGGGTTTTCATCTCTTTATTTAAAGATTGGAATATAACAGACAGTGTTGGTAGTGCGTTCTCCGCAGATAAAACACAGTCCTCGCATTCCTAAAGAAATGTATCTGTTGAGGGGTGGGCGCCCGGTGTTGGGTTACAGCGCGGTAGCCCCTCCCTGCTCTCCGGGACAGAGAGAGGGGATTGTTCGTCGGCGGCGGTACCGCGGTAGCAGCAGGCCACAGCGCCCCACACGCATGCTCAGTGGCGAGTCAATGGAAGGAGCCCTCAGATGACGGATGCAAACGTCTGGGCATGACAGCCGATGTCACGGAGAGTGACAGCTTTCGCTCTCTGCTGCCGCACCTCGACTAGCCCCGAGTGACGCCCGCCAAAGAAGTGACACGGAGCCAGTCAGAACTATGCCAGAGATGGAGAAAGGGAGACCGCCGGAAAATAAACGTAGTAGGAAACCTGCGCACCCCGTCAAGAGGGAGATCAATCAAGAGATGAAGGTGAGGGAAAATGTGTGTTTTGGCTACTCTTCTTTTACTGGTGTTCCGATTGTGAATTCTTTCAAGGGCAGTTTGGGACTATTGAGACAGTGGGGGGAGAGCGCCGTGCGTACAAATCACAGTTGTAGAGGCACCGAAGCGACCCAAACTTTGATTTGTTTCATTGAAATGATTAGCGCACCTCCCTTTAAAGTTGTTAATAATCTAATGCCGTTATATTATTGAATACTGACGAAATAAAAGTGATAAAACAATTGTGTAACATTAGTCCCATATTGGTGAAATAAGAGCTACAGCTATATTAGATTACCTGTCCTTGCCATAATAAACCAACTGTCGGGAAATATACTTTTCCGGGAGGATAGAAAAGTGTGTGTTTAATTAAAGTGTCAATCTTATGTTATCCAATAGGCTATTTGATATCGTGTCCACTGAATGGTAGCCCTTCTTTAGTGACGCCATGTCAGTCCAGCAGTGGCCGCGCGCAGCAATGTCCAGTGGTGTTCCAGATGTGCGTCACCACCAGACGGCAAGAACACATAACTTCTTTCCCGCTTCGGCTGCGCGCGCACTTGTTATAGTAGGATAGTCTATTACAATATAACTTATTTTTTTAAGGCATTCGAAAGAACATATTGAGTCACACTGGTCACTTGAGACTATCAGCTTAGGGCATTTGAGACATGTGAGTAAAAGGTAAGAAATATCAATGAGCTCCCCCTCAATAGGACAGAAAACCCCTAAAGGAGTTTGGGTTTTTATTCTGGTCTTTTCGTGAGAGAAGAAATTTGCTATTTTTGCATAAGTGGTTTGGATTGTAGCTTTGATATGCAGGGAGGGGTGTAGAATTACAACTTAACTAATTTTAATCAAAACATGCGAAATGCTATCGGTGCTTGATGTAAGTCAACCTGGCCTGGATCTGGGCTGGATCTGGGGGTCGGCCCTGGGTTGTTGCCTTTGGCTGGGGCTCTCTCTGTGGTTTGGGATATGGCTTGTCACTCTCACAAAGCAGATGTTTGTCTGAACTGCCAAGAAGAAACAAAAACAACATTGTGGGAAGCAAAGCATGGGGAGGGGAAAGAAAAAACGCCTGTCTCTGCCTAATGAGAAAATAGTGAGACAAAATGACACATAAATGTAATATAGGAGGACTTGCCCTGATGTAATCATTGATGTAGACTGGGCTAGTCCCATGGCAGGCAGCACACACAGACTACTACTTTGTGATTCTCAGACATGTACTGGATCTACAATATAGGCCTTGGGTTACGTGTGGTAATGAACTGGGGCTGTTGGGCTTGAAGGCCAGTGGTATAAGGGTCGGGTTATGAAATAGAGAAGGGGAAAGACAGACAGACAGACAGACAGACAGACAGACAGACAGACAGACAGACAGACAGACAGACAGACAGACAGACAGACAGACAGACAGACAGACAGACAGACAGACAGACAGACAGACGGACGGACGGATGGACAGAAAGTCATTCAGTTAGAAAGTCAGTCAGTCAGACAGACAGACAGACAGACAGACAGACAGAAAGTCAGACAGAGAACCAGAGTGACCGACATACTTAGAGACAGACAGACACAGTGGTTTCTGGGGCTGTCTGTCTGCGGGCTGCTCCAGTCCGGTCCAGTGTTGTGTCAGCTAAAGGATCTATTTCAACACCACAGTCGGACCCACTCCCTCCACGTCAGACTGTAGCACAGCACGGACACCAGATACTTGACTTGAATCATCGTTAGGCATATTTAGCTGGATTTGATACCTCTGTGTGCACACACGTGCTCACACACATACTTGAACGCAGACACACCACACACAGACAGACAGACACACATACACACAGAGCTCAATTTCTTTGAGGCCCTGGTGCGGAGCAGAGGTCAGTCAGTGTGAGGATAGCAGGGGGAAATAATGTGTAGTCAGTACTACAGCCCTAGTACAACACTACCACAGGCAGGCTGTCCGTGCTGGAAAAGGCTGAAACCCGAGAGGGAGTGCAGTGTCGGTTATCAGGACTGGAAGGTGCCGGGCGGAGGGGGCCAGGGAGAGGCAGAGAGAGGAGAGGGCAGGGGAGGGGAGTGAGGGGACACACAGAGAGGGACTGGAGAGTGCTGGATGCTCGGGAGAGTTGATGGGAGAGGAGCGGGTCATTTCCGAGAACCGTGGGACCTAGCGGCGGTGTAGGATGTCCCGCTCGGATTTCTGCCCATTCCAGATCGGATTTCTGCTCCAATCCCTGCTCGCTCCCAAAGCCACAGAGGCGGAGAGGTGGGCGGATGAAGAGAGAGAGCGAGACTGAGAGAGAGACCTTTGTGTTGTTTTTTAAAAACCTGGTCGTAGTAATAAAAAAGAAGCCAGGACATTCACTTCTCAACCCATCTGCTAAGAACACATTTTTAATTTTTCTCCGTCTCTCTTTTTTCCCTCAATTAAAAGAGATAAACAAACAATGATTCATAGATTTCACAATAGTATTAGGTTGAAAAACTTTTCCGTCTCCGATTTAGCAAGAGTAAACAAACTGGAATACATAATGGAAAAAGAGTCATACTGTACGCCTCTGTGTTCCCCTCTTCATTTAATCCAGGCAGGGCTGGTCTGGAAGTCAAAGGAATCCAGCACATTCATTCGGGAGTGGAAGCTCTGGTTACATTTAAAGAGTGGGATAAAAAAGTTCCACTCACAAACCTCTGATGTAATGTCACTCACAACTGAAGTTCACATTGGCTTAGCATTAGCATGCAGGGTTTTGGTTGTCCTGTCTCCCGCCATGTCCCCTGACTGACATAACCTATAATGTTGCTCAGTGATTTATTTTTTCTTTCTCCCTGTAGACGTTTGCAGAGAGCACCATGAATGAGCTCCTAGGCTGGTACGGCTATGACAAGGTGGAGCTCAGGGACACCGAGGCCACCGAGATCCGGAACTACCCCAACCGAGAGAGACGCCAGCAGCATGTCTCCGTCCTTAAAGGTGAGAAAAGGCGAGGATCCTGTTCAGTAGGGCACATCGTAGCAAAACGTTTCGCAACGGAGAGTGGAAATCTGTGTTTTAATTGAACAAGTTCAGGTAGTGCCTTACCGTTTCAAAATGATTTCTGCCTACTGAACACAACCCAAGGTCATTAGTTCAGGTAGTATCTCCCCGTTTCACTCCCTTTCAAAACTTTTCTGCCAACTGAACAGGGCCCAGGTATCTGTACAACACAGGTAACATAGTTAACAGAGGTCAGACATAATTCAGGGATAACCCAATAACAGAGCATACAGGTTGTTCAATCCAGACATAGTATCACTTTAAACATTTGCTAGACATACTTGCAGCTTAATTCACCCTTCTTATGTTTCACTTCTTATCACCACAGTAAACCTGTATGGCTGGATTTTTCTCTTTCAAAAATGTTCAGTGCCATTGTTTTGTCAACGTCCTTTGGGCTGCATATAAATAATTTGTGTATTTAGAGTGATATAAGTGCCACCAAAACTTTCAAATGATTGAATGCAGATGACATTTATTTTATATCACTCCATACCTATGTTAGAACATAAATTGACTCTAAAGTGACCATACATATCCTCTGCCTTCCAGAAAACTCAGTGCCGAAGCCCAAGAGCTTGAACAGTAAAGTCAGCCCCTCTGCACTGGCCATGAAGAGTGGAGAGAGAGAATCATCCACTTTCTCTTCCTCTCCCAGCTCCTCCTCTTTGACCAGCCCTAAGGAGCACAAGAGTGCTCCCGTAATTGTCCCCCTTATAAAGCCATCTGCAGGTAGGGCAAACATCACACATGCACACACACACGCAAGCACTTTGTGTGACCAACTGGGTTAGAACCCGGGTCTCCTGCACGTCACAAAAGTGTGTTAGCCTGCCGAGGTAAAGCCTAGTCTTCAGGTCACAGGCAAGGTTCCTCATCACACAGGCGTGGTTCACCAAACCACGTCTGTTACATTCACACCCCATCATCATTATCATCATCCCATCGTCATCTTCATCATCATCATCATCATCATCATCATCACTACCACATGTAGCCTACAGTTATTTTATACAGCTGTTGATTAAACACTCACATGCTCCTAACATGCTCATCTTCTTCATCATCATCATCATCATCATCAATTACACTTCACATGTTGATGTTGATGCCTCTCTCCTTTGTCTCTGTCCGCAGTGGAAGACGTGCAGAATGTGCAGATAGTGTGTGTGTGGTGTCAGAAGGAGGGGGTGAAGCGCTACTCCCTCTGTATGGGCACCGAGCTGAAGAGCTTCTGTAGTGAGAAGTGCTTCGCCGCCTGCCGACGGGCCTACTTCAAACGCAACAAGGTGAGGGATTCAACCTTGATTCAACTAGGAGTCAATGGACAATTTTAGGTCTGACAAAACTGCTGCAGTTTAGATGGAAATAGAAATGAGCATGCACACACAGACACAGACACACACACACTTTAATGGTGAGAAGAGATTTCTGGCAGGTAAACAAACCCTCGAAAATGGAATACCCCTGTTTTCCTCAGTGAGGTCATCATACCGTCGTATTGATAAAAAAATGGTTAATATATGAATGTTGTCTGATGTTAGCAAGTTATTGATTTCATGAACCTTATTTCTAAGGCTACATATATTAATATGTAGCCCTGTCCTGGGTAGCTTGTGTGTGGGTGCATGCATGTGTGAGGGGGTGTTCTCCAAGCACACAAACACACACAACATACACACAAGCTACCCAGGAAAGGGCTGAAAATAGCCCATATTAATATATGTAGCCTTAGAAATAATGTTCATGAAATCAATAACTTGCTAACATCAGATAACATTAATATGTTAACCATTTCTGAGAGTCACTTGGAAAATTCATTTGATGATACAGCAATAGCAATACAAAGATATAACATCTACAGTATAGAAGAGACAGAAATGCTTATGATGGAGGTGTTGCTTTATATATTCAGAGCCATATCACTGTAATGCTTAGAGAATATATTTTGTCAAGTGTTATTGAAGTGTTGTGGTTGCAGGTTCACTTGGCACATCTAAAGCCTTTTCTGTTGCTATAGGCCACCAAGTGCTTACACTCAGTATCTAAATAATATGTGTGAAATGCTTGATAGTATATGTGATGTAAACAGAGAGGTCTACTTTCTTGGGGACCTGAATATTGACTTGTTTTCATTAAGCGGTCCACTCAAGAGGAAGCGTCTCACTGTAACCAGTGCCTGTAATCTGGTTCAGGTTATTAATCAAGCTGCCAGGGTGTTTACAAACACTACAGGAACAAGATCATCCACATGTATCGATCACATTTTTACTAATACTATAGAACTTTGTTCTAAAGCTGTATTCGTACCCATTGGATGCAGTGATCACAATATAGTGGCTATATCCAGGAAAGCCAAAGTATCAGAGATCATACAAAAGATAATGCTGTGACTCTTATGTGGATGATGTTAAAAATATTTGTTAGTCTGATGTGATTAATAATGTCACAAAAGGAGTGGCTAATAAGTCTGGCTGCACATCTGACTGGCTGACTTACTGCAAATTGAGAAATTATGTGACTAAACTCAACAAAAAGAAGAAGAAACTGTATTAAGAAGCCAAGATCAGTAATATAAAGAATGATGGAAAAAAACGTTGGAGTACTTTATATGAAATTATGGGCAGAAAGACAAATTCAACTCCATCTTTCATCAAATCTGATGGCTTATTCATCACAAAACCATTTGATGTTGCATATTATATGAATGATTACTTCATTGGCAAAGTGGGCAAACTTAGGCAGGAAATGCTAACAACGAACAGTGAGCCATTGTACTCATGCATAAAAAAATAAAAATAATCAAAGAAAATCTTTGGAAGTTTGAATTTTGTAAAGTTAGTGTGAGAGAGGTGGAGAAATTATTGTTATTGTTCAATAATGACAAACCTCCTGGCATTGACAACTTAGATGGAAAGCTACTGAGGATGGTAGCTGACTCTATAGCTACTCCTATCTGTCTTATCTTTAATCTGAGCCTAGAGGAATATCTTTGTCCTCAGGCTTGGGGGGAAGCCAAAGTCATTCCGCTACCCTAGAGTGGTAAAGCCTTAGAGTAGTAAAGATTGTGGGAGCTGTACTGTTAGATTTCAGTGCTGCCTTTGATATTATTGACCATAACCTGTTATTGAGAAAACGTATGTGTTATGGCTTTTCAACCTCTGCCGTATCGTGGATTCAGAGTTATCTGTCTAATAGAACTCAGAGGGTTTTCTTTAATGGAAGCTTCTCCAATGTCAAACATGTAAAGTGTGGTGTACCGCAGAGCAGCTCTCTAGGCTCTCTACTCTTTTCTATTTTTACCAATGACCTGCCACTGGCATTAAACAAAGCATGTGTGTCCATGTATGCTGATGATTCAATCATATACTCATCAGCAACCACAGCTAATGAAGTCACTGAACCCCTTAACAAAGAATTGCAGTCTGTTTTGGAATGGGTGGTAAACTGGTGCTGAACATCTCTAAACTAAGAGCATAGTATTTGGTACAAATCATTCCCTAAGTTCTAGACCTCAACTGAATCTGGCAATGAATGGTGTGGCTGTTGAACAAGTTGAGGAGACTAAATTACTTGGTGTTACCTTAGATTGTAAACTGTCATGGTCAAAACATATAGATTAAATGATTGTGAAGATGGGGAGAGGACTGTCCGTAATAAAATAAATGCTCTGCTTTTTTGACACCACACTCCAAAAAGCAAGTCCTGCAGGCTCTAGTTTTGTCTTATCTTGGTTATTGTCCAGTCGTGTGGTCGAGTGCTGCAAAGTAAGACCTAGTTAAGCTGAGCAACACGTCTTGCTCTTCGTTGAAATCAGAGGGCTAATATAAATACTATAGCTCTGACACACACACTTACCCCCACCAGACATGCCACCAGGGATCTTTTCAGTCCCCAAATCCAGAACAAATTCAAGAAAGCGTACAGTATTATATAGAGCCATTATTGCATGGAACTCCGTCCCATCTCATATTGCTCAAATGAACAGAAAACCTGGTTTAAAAAAACTGATGAAGCAACACCTCACGGCACAACGCCTCTCCCCTATTTGACCTATATAGTTTGTGTGTATGTATTGATATGTAGGCTACGTGTGTTTTTTTTAAAAATTGATGTAGTCTGTCCCTGAGCTGTTCTTGTCTATTAATGTTCTGTATTATGTCATGTTTCATGTTTTGTGTGGACCCCCAGGAAGAGTAGCTGTTGCTTTCGCAACAGCTAATGGGGATCCTAATAGAGTACAAAAAAAAATACACACATACACAAACACACACACATGCTGGGTTCTAATAGACAGGCCAGTGTTTGGAGGGTGGGAAGGGGTCAAAGTTCGCAGAGGACACTTAGGGCTCTATTCAATCTGTATCGCTGAAACATTACAGATTGGGTGAAAGAAATATAAAGGTCATTTTCGTATGCAGCATTTACCGGGAATGCAGTCTAGGCTAACGCGGGAACATATCCTTTAAATTTCAATCACGCTGTAACGCTGAACTTGTGCGATACGGATTCAATAAAGCCCTTAGTATCAGTTTCGCCTTAATGGAGAAAGGGCCTGTCATCACGCGGCTTGGGTAGGGAGGACAGGGAAGCAGTGCCCATGCACAAATCCTCTCCCATACACATTACCACCATTTTTCACCCTCCATCCAAGACATGGATATCCCCTCTTAGAGGCGCGGGGGTGTCAGGCAAGGCTATCCCTATTCAACATTTCTGTTGTTAATGTGGCGCTAGGTTTTATTCATACAACAACAGACAGGGGGGAAAGAGGGAGTTGTCTGCTGCCTACCCTCTATGTTTTTGGGTGGTGGAGGTGGGGATGGAACCGTGGCCATTGGCTTGTCCCTGCTTGTCTCACTAAGGAAGAAGGGCAGGGGCCCTGGGGGCAAGGTGTCCACTTTCAGCGCATACCTTACCTGCAGCTGCCTCATGTTTCGTAACTCAACACAACTTAGTGGGTCACAGAGAAGGGGCGTGCTCACCGCTCGCAGATCCACACAGGATCAGCTTACATGAATCGGGAGGAATTTCCTATATTAATACAGCCGGACCATTGACAATAATAGAAGGGTTTGTCATCTATTTTATCTTACCAAGACTTTCCAAAACATTCCCTTTGTTTCAGTGACCTCAAAGCCCACAGGTCAGTGTACTCTGTTACTTTGAACCCCTATGACGAGGCGAATCGTGCAGTGGTTATTTTGGGATTGGTTATGTAAGTTTGCTTTAATGACCAAGAGAGCCATCCATGATGACTTAAAGCAAATGTTACCTCATCAACGCTTGGTGCTTAAATCCCATAGTGGTTCAACTGAATCCAGGCTGTACTCTGAAAAAGCTTTAACTCAATCCTGGGACGTGTTCATTAGGGCACACAATGTCTTAAAACATTTTGCAACGGAGATTTAAAAAAAAAGTTTCTTATTGGACAAATCCAGGTAGTCCCTCCCTGTTTCAGTCCGTTTTTGGTTTGTTTGGTGCCTAATGAACATGACCGTTTGATCGTTTGTTATAAGTGTATAATGATGTGGCTTTGACCACGTCCGTCAGGCCCGGGATGAGGATCTCAATGGAAGTGAGCGATCCCCCCAACACACCCATGCTGACGACTCACCCCGACTGGTGCTGAAGATGAACAGCGGTGGGGCCAGAGTAAGAACAGAACATAATCCACTTAATGGAAATACTAAAGTTACTCAAATATTTTTGCTCAAAGACTAGCAATGCAGTCATGCATGTTGTACAGCTACTTCAAAACATTAAGGGGCAGTTTCCAGGACACAGATTAATTCTTTTTAGTCTAGGAGTAGGCTTAATCTGGGAATGACTGGGAAACTGCCCCTTAAATTGATAGTTCAGCTATTTTCCATATATAGATATTTGTTTCCTTAAAGTAGGCTATGGACAAGGAGATGCTGCAATCCACATTAGCATTTTGTGACCAATTCCCCATGCAAATTAATCTCCCCTGTTTAGAATGTATTACGTTTAATGCCCAAAGCATAAAAAAATAACACAATTAATTTAATATGATTTGGCCATGAAATGTAACACCTGCTAAATCGGGAAGATTGCCTTACGTGGGGAATTCATCCCAAATGTTGAAGTCACTCATTGTCCATTATAAAACTGCTCTATTCAAATAATGTTATACATTCCACATTCAAATCATTGGTTTTCCCTTTTCACGTGGCACTATAGTAATTCTCCACAGTCCCTCTCGCCCGTACCGCAGGTGTGCAACTGGTGCAAACACGTCCGCCACACCAAAGAGTACCTGGACTTTGGCGCAGGTGCGGAGCGGCTCCAGTTCTGCAGCACCAAGTGCTTGAACCAGTACAAGATGGACGTGTTCTACAGAGAGGCCAGGGCGGCTCTCACCAGCTCCAGCCCAGGCCCAGGAAGACCCACCCAGGATGGGAGAACTGAGTCCATCGGAGGGGGTCAGAACCAGAAACTCCTGACCCCCGAATCGTGGAACAACGGCGCAGGGGTCATGCGGGGGAGTACCAGATCACCCAAAGGGCCCATGCCGATCTACAGCACAGCGGCGTCAAGGACTGTGTCTCCATCTGAGGCATCGTCCTTGTCCTCCAAGGTCCCCGTCTCGGGGCTGAGACACCTGGAGAGGCATGTCCTGCCACCGCTGCCAACCCCGGAGGTGGCAAGCCACCACCCCATCCCCCATCCTCCTCCTCGCCCCCCCATGGAGCACCACCAGCACCACCAGGCAATGCCTCAGATCCCGCTGCCTTTCAACCAGCCCCCCCTCCATGCCCAGGGCCTGACGAGCCCCCTCGCCAACCCCCACAGGGGCCACCCTGGCCCCCCTTCCAGCCCCATCCACCGGTCCACCCCTCACTCCCCCCACCACCCCCCCCCACCTCCAGCCCCCCTCAGCCTCCTCCATGAACCCACCAAGAATGCACCCCTACCCGGGGGCCTACTTCCCCGGCCTGCACTCCCCCCCTATGATGGGGCCTCGTGGCCCTGTGCCCATGCCGCATATGATGAACTTCGGGAGATGGCCGTCCCTAGGCCCCTTCTTCCCTCAGCCCACGGTTCTGGTGCCCTACCCCATTATTGTACCCATCCCTATCCCCATCCCCATCCCTATCCCCATACCAATACCCACTAAGCCTTCCCCCTCAGACCCCCTAGGGATCCCCCCTAGTGGGGTTATCCAGCCCGTGCCAGAGGGAATGGAGAGGGGGTGCTCCAGTGGTGTCAAACTGCCCTCTCCCAGGAGCTCTGTGCCAAACAGATTAGGTAGAACCACCAACCAGGGTCTCCCCTTGCCCTCAGAACACCCCAAAAGGGATATCACAGATTGGGTTAAATCAGAGAGGCAGGCTCCGTCGCCCATGTCGTCCCCCCACAGTGCAGCATCCTCCCCCAGGGCATTCTACGATGCTTCCCCCTCTTCCACCTCAGTGATTGAGGCACTGTCAGACTTTAAGCTGGGCCAGCAGCAGCAGCAGCCAGAGAGAGAGCTCATTCAGAGAGTGCTTCAGAGGACCCCAGTCAAGCTGGAGCCCAACCCCCACGGAATGGTGGACCTGTCGGGTCCGTGGGAGCCCGGAGCGGGGCAAAGCACCAGGGTAGTGGATACCAGAGTGGACCACCGCAACCACCACCATAGCATTATCAAACCCACCCCTCCACCACCCCAGTCCCCCCCTCCCCCGCACGACACTTCCTACCCCCAAAGCCCAAACACACGACACCCCTCGCACACTCCACCAGCGACCAGAGGGGGATGCAGCAGCCCTCCCTGTGAGACCGCCACCTCCTTCCCCCTGACGTCCCCGGACATCCCTAACCGAACGACTACGTCATCATCGCACGACCCTGTTCCCAGCCCAGACTCCTCCCAGTCCCAGAGAGAGGCCCTGCTCCTTGGCCCTGACTCTGTCCTCAGCGAGCTGGTGGCGGTCAAAGAGAACAGCTACTCCAATGGCCAGGTTCAGGGGAGGGACCAGGGCCAGGTCCCTCCCCTCCCCACTAGCCAATCAGAGGAGCCCTCGGCCGGTGGCGACCCTAAGGACCCCCACATCTCCGATGAGGACCATGCCTACGCCCTGCCCACCCCCACCCCTACACCCACCAGGACGGGCAGTGTCCCCGCCACCACCCACACCACACTCCTCCTGCCCAAGCTCAGGGACAAGGGCGCCCTGCGGAGCCCACCGAGTGTGGCTGGGCCTGGGGACATGGAGCCTGCTCTGAAGAGACGGTGCCTCCGCATCCGAGATCAGAACAAGTAGAAGAGGAGGTGGGTGTTGCTTGTTACACAGGCTTTTGGGGCACTGTAACGTATGTTTTCTTTGGGTGTGGGGGGGGGTTAGGATACCTAGAGGAATCTGAATGAGAAAGACATAATACAGGTGAAGATTAGATGAAGGAACTTCCATATAGATTAAATAACCTTAGAAGAAGGTATACAATTAACTGTTTATATCTATCACAAACAATCAAAGACACACACACTCGCGTGCCCTGTCAAATCCCCATATGAAACAGTCCAACATCCAAACAAAGCGTTGTCACTGTAACAGGCCCTGCATGGTGAGGTGATCTCTTTTCAAAGTGACTCTCACTGTCTCTCTTCTCTGTTCCTTCCCTTAGCCTAGCTGTAATCCTAGAGCTGTGGGGAGTGCCAGGTTACTGGGATTCTCTCTCTTTGGCGCCATTCTGTTTAGTGGCCATACGCATATTGTGTAACAGTGTGCGTGCGTGTGTGCTTTTGGGAATATCCCATTGGCTCCATTGCACCAGGCAAGCTCAATCAAACACTGTTGATTCAAATACATTTTGAGAACTCAGCTAGCACACTTGGTTCCAAAGCCATACATTTCCTGACCGGTAAAACTGAAAGTTTTTTAAACGTTCTGAGAAAATGTCACCTGTTCTGTGTACATGTTTAGGTTGCAGGGAGGTTCTGATCAGAACCTTTATTGTAGCACAGCGTCAGTGAGATTCGAACCTATGTTCTTCTCTTCCTTTATTCATGGTATTAGTCCACTGCACCACCAGGATGGAGCTAACATGCAATGTTTTCTTTTTACTCATACAAAGCTGTTCATTTTAGTCTGTTCAAACAAACCCCATTTCAACTGAAACAAGCACTCATTAACCCTAACAGTCCAAAGACCCCAGCAAAAATCAGCTTTTCATTTATCTGACCTTCATTTATCTGATTGTCCAGCATTTATATTTAGCCTCACAATGAATTGTTTTACCATTTTATTTTCAGGACAACCAGGGCTACAAGTAGAACACAAAACTATTTGTCATAAACAGTTGCATTCATGAGTTTTATTGACAAATGACACAAAAACACAAGGTCCGCCAAAGCAAAAACCTGATAGAGATTAATTTATATGAATGCTGTAAGTACAGAAATGTTTTGCTCAGTGGGAAATGAGTATCCTACTAGTCAGTGACAACTGTGTGGAGTTTGTGACAGAAACTATGGGAGCTTATTACAGTATTATAGACAATATATCCTGGGATTTCCTATGATCTTCTATATAGAAGAACCCCTTACCTTCTAACAACTCTTGTGTAGCTTGTGAGTGTCGTAGAGCAACACGTTACATGTTTGTGAGAGTCTCAGCTTTTCATGGATAGGTTGTAATAGTTTGTAGCTCAAACCATTCAGACTCTACAGACATGTTTGTAAAAAGACCCAACCCGAGCCCGTTCGGGATCCGCCCTTGTCTCACAAACACTGCTCTAGCTCAGCCCCCATTATTCACAGTGTCCGAGGGTGAGGTCGATTGATCAAGGTTGATCACCCAAAGGATTGGGTACTGCCAAAGGTCCACACTTTGTGATATTCCTTTCTCCCATGAACCACCACTCCTCCATTCCAGCCCTCTTTCTGGCGTTACCTTGGAGACAGCAACGATCGGCAGACTCGAAGGCGCTGTGAATATGAGAGCCTGTGTGTGTGTGTGTGTACTATGAATATGAGAGCCAGCCCACAGTGATAGAGCTCTGGGGCTTCATTAGAAAACTGAGCAGCAGAACTGGAACGATCTGGTTACGTGTGTCACAACGACACTGACATGCAATACTGGCCCTGGCGCCGTCGCTCGGTCTCACTCCCATGTAGGAGTTTAGTGGTGTGCAATCATCTCTTCTAGTCTCATTTAGTAGCATTTATTGGCATTCTCTTCTCTCCTCATCTCCCCAATTCTTTCTTCTCCTCTCCTCTACACTCCCGTCCTGTACTCTTCTCCTCCTCTCCCCTTTTCTCTCCTCTCCTCCCTTCCCCTCCCCTCCCCTCTCTCTTCTCTGTTTCTCTACTATCTCTCCTTCCTCTTTTCCTTTCCTCTCCTCTCCTATTCCCTTCTCTCACTTCACAGCTTCTTCCTGCCAACCAGATGTTCTATGGAAGACATAAACTACATTACAGTAACAACCCTAATGACCAATCAGATTGGAATCCTCCTTACTTTCGACAAATCAGAACGGTCTCCAGTTTCCCCTTTTCTGATTGTTCATTCAAATGGTCCTTTTGCCACCCAGAGCTGTGCGATTATATGCTTATGTTTCCGTTTTTGATTTCCAGTTACCTCTACTTCCTCCCTTCTCCCCTCCCATATCGAAAACCTCAAAAGGTCAAGGGTCATCTTAATAACTGTGTCTGAAAGTGAAAAAGATGGCTATTGGCAGAGAGCAACACATAACCCCATAACTGTTTATTAAATATTCCCAAAAGCCATGTGCCAGAAGTATTAAACAATCCTCTTTCGCAGAAGTCCCGGCTTCACCCTTTGTCATTTGTTATGGTTTCGCGTGGGTCCCCTTAGTAACCAATACATATGAAAATCACAGCATGTTGCTGGCGTTGTGCAGGTGGATTTATTGCTTGGTGTTCTGTGTAAGTGGAGCCGGTGTGTATGTGTTTGTGTGTGTGTGTTTTTGGTTTTACTATCTTTGTGGGGACCAGAAGTCCTCACAAGGATAGTAAAATAAGGAACATTTGGACAAGTGGGGACATTTCGCCAGTCCCCACAAGGAAAAATACTATTTTAGGCTTAATGGTTAGGTTTAGGGTTAGGGTTGCAATTAGGGTTAGGGTTACAATTAGGGTTAGGGGCTAGGGTTAGGAGCAGTGCTTAATTTGAGTCGGAACCTATTTGGCCGGATCCTGTACATCTCGTGGCATGAAAAATTATTGTCTCTCACAGAACTAGAATGAGATTCACTTTCTATGATCTCTCTCCCTCTCTCCTGTCTGATAGTCATGAGCCTGCAACTCTCATCTCTCCAGCATTGCACTTCATAATTTATTTCCTTATAGGGTTCTGGAGCAGCTGTAGCACGCCTCATAAATTGAAATACATTTGCCAACGTTATAGAGTTACTGCTGTCTGTTCAGAAATAAATGAAATAATTCAGAATAGCCTACTACACCACAGTAGCGGTGTGTGGGTAAAATCTCTGGGGAAGCCCACCCCCAGAAAAGCCATATTACAAACTATGTGATGTGATAATTGCATTGTTTGCTCTATAACCTGTTAATTCATATGCCTTGCAATTGTGATATATAGGCCTAAAGGCCCAGACAATAAGAAGACACAGTGGCAGAATAAATTCAACAACATTTGTTTTATCACCGGATAGCAACCTCTGTCCAGTGAAGTCCACAAAGCATATTGTATGTACAGTAACAGACAGTTACATGACCTACAGCATGGTCAAGTCAAGTTCATGTTTCCGACATTTTCGGACCACTAAACAATTATTGATTTAGAGCCACAGAGAGTTACCGCAAGTCGCAAAGAAAACAGGAGCTGCCTCCACTATTCCAGCACTATTTCAACTTCAACATTTCAACATCATCAAATCACCTCTGCTTAGTCTAATACAGTGAAAACTAAAAGATACCAAAAACTATTTAGTCCAATCAACATAAGCTAAATATGATGTTGCTACAGTGGTTTGCGAAAGTATTCACCCCCCTTGGCATTTTTCCTGTTTTGTTTCCTTACAACCTGGAATTGAAATATATTTGTTGGGTGTTTGTATCATTTGATTTACACAACATGCCTACCACTTTGAAGATGCAAAATATTTCTTATTGTGAAACAAACAAGAAATAAGACAAAAAAAAACAGAAACCTTGAGCGTGCATATCTATTCACCCCCCCCAAAAGTCAATACTTTGTAGAGCCACCTTTTGCAGCAATTACAGCTGCAAGTTTCTTGGGGTATGTCTCTATAAGCTTGGCACATCTAGCCACTGGGATTTTTGCCCATTCTTCAAGGCAAATCTGCTCCAGCTCCTTCAAGTTGGATGGGTTCCACTGGTGTACAGCAATCTTTAAGTCATACCACAGATTCTCAATTGGATTCAGGTCTGGGCTTTGACTAGGCCATTCAAAGACATTTAAATGTTTCCCCTTAAACCCCTCGAGTGTTGCTTTAGCAGTATGCTTAGGGTAATTTTCCTGCTGGGAGGTGAACCTCTGTCCCAGTCTCAAATCTCTGGAAGACTGAAACAGGTTTCCCTCAAGAATTTCCCTGTATTTAGCGCCATCCATCATTCCTTCAATTCTGACCAGTTTCCCAGTCCCTGCCGATGAAAAACATCCCCACAGCATGATGCTGCCACCACCATGCTTCACTGTGGGGATGGTGTTCTCGGGGTGATGAGAGGTGTTGGGTTTGCGCCAGACATAGCGTTTTCCTTGATGGCCAGAAAGCTCATATTTTAGTCTCATCTGACCAGAGTACCTTCTTCCATATGTTTGGGGAGTCTCCCACATGCCTTTTGGCGAACACCAAACGTGTCTGCTTATTTTTTTCTTTAATAATGGCTTTTTTTCTGGCCACTCGGACAGATACTCCAATCTCCGCTGTGGAGCTTTGCAGCTCCTTCAGGGTTTTCTTTGGTCTCTTTGTTGCCTCTCTGATTAATTCCCTCCTTGCCTGGTCTGTGAGTTTTGGTGGGCGGCCCTCTCTTGGCAGGATTTTAGTGGTGCCATATTCTTTCCATTTATTAATAATGGATTTAATGGTGCTCCGTGGGATGTTCAAAGCGTCGTATATTTTTTTATAACCCAACCCTGATCCATACTTCTCCACAACTTTGTCCCTGACCTGTTTGGAGAGCTCCTTGGTTTTCATGGTGCGCTTGCTTGGTGGTGCCCCTTGCTTAGTGGTGTTGCAGACTCTGGGGCCTTTCAGAACAGGTGTATATATACTGAGATCATATGACAGATCATGTGACACTTTATTTTACTAATTATGT